AGAGGGAGAGAGAGAGGGAGAGAGAGAGGGAGAGAGAGAGGGAGAGAGAGGGAGAGAGAGGGAGAGAGTGGGAGAGAGAGGGAGAGAGAGAGTTAGAATAGTTTCATTAGAACAATATTAATAGAAGAAAGAAATTTAAAAGTCGGACTAATGCTAATATTACTAGCCAACTCAAACTATACATCTAACTTCTAATACTATCTAACTTCTTTAACAGTAAAATAGGACACAAAAGAATGAAAAACATTTTACCTGCATGACAAGCTTGAACACTATAATTTTAGGAGCCTTAACTGGCAGTTCATCAATATCACTTTCTGTGAGTGAGCACAATTCACCAATTGTATATATATGCCTTGAATCCAATGATGATATTAGCATATCCTTACTAGAAAACACACAAACTTACATTAATAGGTTCATTCAAATTATTGTAATACAAACACTTAAATGAATTGAAGACTTACCAATCACCAGTAACTGCAAGTTGGTCAGTGACATCCGAAACAGGAGATGTGCAATCTTTAAGATTAGGCCAAACAGGTTTTGGTTCCGTAGATCGATCCACACGACGGATACGATCTTCTAAGAAGCAAGAAAATAGACTTCATTAGTTTCCCTTACTATTTACAAAATTACTCATTATTTATTGTAATTAATAATGGGGGAAACTGATAAATACAGAGGAAAACAATATAAAAAGGTTTTGCATAACATGGTGAATGCCAAAGTGGTTGAGGGAAAGAAAAGAAATCACCTACAGAACACCAAACTCAATGTTGCTATTGAACATAATGCTGAAAACATGGTATTGACATTGATTTTAACAGCGTTACATTATTTTCTATATTATAAGTATTACCCCGTGTATATTAGTAAACCACAAACTGAAATTTGAAACCGTCAAAGGCAATTCTTTTCTTTGTTGTCTTTCAAATTAAAAGTCCCTAATCCATGTTCCTCTTGTGGTACTTATTTTTCTAATTTACCTGACATCGTAATTCGTGTTACCCAATTTACAAATCAGACACATTTTATAAAAGTACTTATTATCCATTCTTTTCTTGGTTTGGATTCAATTGTTTTCGCATGCGATTCTGCTTTAAAAAAATAGTTTTCAATTATTTCCATTAACTGAAATTTCCTCAAATTCCTCAAATTTGTATCTTCAGCATTATTCAATTCCTCCTATTTTTCAGTTTTAATTTCATCAATAAAAAGTTGTTTACAAGAAATGTCAGTAATGTTGTTGTAAATCATTTTATCGAACACATATGGCTTTAACACCCTGTTAATTTACAACACTTCAGGTTTGTTAAGTGATCTTGTACCTACCTGTATGTTAAGAAATGTAACATCCTTAGCTATGTAACTAAACGACTATCAATTCATTGCAAGTGTACCACTTACTACGAAAAAACAAGGCGATTTACAAACAAATCAGAATAAAAGTAACATTATTTTGGGAATAATTCATTTTCCTGGCATTCCATGAATTGAATCTTTCCTTCGGTAATTATATTTACAGACAGTGTGGTGTTGCCACTGGAAGTCAACATATCACCTTCTTCACCGGAAGTCATTTTTCTCTACATTTTCACTGTTTCCTACAGACTCCGCAACATTTGATTCAGCTACACTCGAGCTCTGCCACCTAACAAACCATTTCAAATCCACCACAGAGGCCATGAACCGGCCTACGTCATAGCTACAGTTCTTTTTAAAGAGTGACCGGTGTATTTTTTGAGCTCCAGGAGTGACTGGTTTATAATTTTTGACACACCTGCAATCTCGTGAATGCCAACTTCCTGAATATTATATTTTCCACAGTTGTAAAAAAAGAAGATTTTGACGTATTCTATGTGTTTTAGACGCAAATCCATATATTTCGTGACCGTTTCCACATTGCTTACAGGGCCATCAGGAACTATGGTAAAAAAAAAAACCAACACACACACACACACATAATTTTTGGAATCATTGATTTGCAGAATTAGAATGGAACCTTCCTTCTTTACATCATTCACATGAAGCTGGTATATTTCATCACAGTGTCAAGCACTAAAGAAGCCAAATATCAGGGCAACCTACAAAAACAAACACTTTTTACACCAAATCTGTACATTGTTTTATTCCAGAATACTTATGTAACAAATATTTATCCCCAGCCTCTGTCAAGAACTTCCACACCACAATTTGCCACAACTTTTGCTTTATTTGTTGGTGCACTAATGTTTAATCTCTTCAAGAATGCATAAAGCTTGTGTTCACAAGCTCACGTTTCCATTTACACCTCTTGGGCATCCCAGCATTAAATAAAAAAAACCATAATGAGGTGGCCTTATGTGCCTGTGACTTTCCTTGGGGTAGAAAAGAATTATTCGCATCGATCTTTCTTGAATCATGGTATACCTATATTGCATAAAGAGATACATAGTAAGTAACACCTCACATTATCGAATAACATGACGCAGCAACAAAATTAATTTGTATCCTGCAGTAATGTCCCAAAAATCTTGAGTGGTGACTTATGCTGAACATACCATGAAAAGTTAGCGTTATTACTGCAGTGTCCAAATTAAAATCTCTACTCTGCTATGCTCTGCCTCAATTTTTAACTTTTGGCCTCTGCAGTAATAACACTCGTAACATTACTATGTTGATTACTATTAATATCCGGTACTGGAAGCCAATGTTTAAGGAGGACTATTATGGAGATTATTATCACTCCCATATGGAGAATACTATTCTTATAGATATGTTTATAACCTAAGACTTCAAAATTTTTAATATAGTTCATGATTTTGTTACGTGCTCTGCGGTTTTCATTGATTTGTTTAGTGACTCTCCTCATTAAAAAAGATGGTGCTACAGAAGGATACACACTTTCCCATATTAATTTTTTGTAATTCCTTTCCTCTCGACTAGCTATTCGAACATGCCACATACGAACTCTTGCCTGCTTCCATGTATCGCCGCCTAAAGTACATTTTTTTAAATTTTATTTCTTCACCTTCCTAATATTAGAACGGAATATTATTTTAAGAATATTAAAGAACAGCAAAACTTCGTCCCAAATGGTAATTTTCTCTGAAATACTTGGAGCCATTTTTAAGAAAATAGCACTCAAGTGCTACAGTAAATTTTATAGTAGAAGCACTTTTCCACACAAAAAATTTGGATTTATTCTAAAACTTCATTAAAAGTCATTTGAAGCACTTTAACTCAAATAGAACAGTGTTAACAAATTGCTGGAAATGTGCAATTACTGGCATGAGGGTTATTCAAAAAAATTACAGTTGTGTAATTCTTGAAAAAACAAAAAAAATACCCCAAAATGAACTTTACGTCACATCGAAAAGTGCAATTAACACTATTCTTTCCGAAAGTTTGAAGAAGAAAAATTGTAATCGTATTTGAGAAAATGGCATTTGAGCGTTTCTGAAAATGCAGAACTTTGAGCTAGTTTTGACAAAAAACAGTTGAGGTTTCAGGAAGCTTTATAAGACATTATTTAAAGCATGTGAACTCATAAATATAAATAATGTGAACAAATCGCCGCTAACGTAAATATTAACATTGTGAGAGTCAAGTAAAAAAAATTACTATTTTGTAATTATGGAAAAAAACCAACAAAAAAAACAGAAGAATAGAGCAATACGGTGTTTATGTCATCTTATACAGTGCATTTAGCAAAATCCTCACCTGAAGTTTTAAGAAAAAATTTGGAGCCTTTTTTGAAAATATCTTGTTTTTTATTTTATTAAAATTGCACAAATTGCATGCAAGCTACTAAAATTTTCATTAAAATGGCCAGGATCTTAATGAAAGAACAAATTATGGACAACGAATTTCATTGCAAGGAAAAATCTCTCTTTGATTGTTGTAGATGTGACGATGATGAAGAGTAGTATTATTGTTTGGTTGGGTAACCTTGTAGTAGTAGATGTAGAATTACTGTTTGGTTGGATAACCTTGTAGTAGTAGATGTAGAATTATTGTTTGGTTGGGTAATCTTGAAACCTATCCACTGGGCCACTCACACCATTTAACGGAGAAGAAAGAATCTATTGGAATTCATTATAGAGAGGCACCACTGTATACTGTCCATTCAAAAATATTCTCAACTAATTTTTTTCTCTAAGAGAAAAAAATTTGTATAGAGAAAAGTTTTTATTGAATTTTCCACATAATCCTCCTCTTGTAATATATACATTTTGCTGCGCTTATGCAGCCGCTGTGCTTGACCTGGAGAATTCATCTTCCAGAAAGGCTATCTGAACCTTGATTATATTTGTTTTAATCACCTCAACATCTTCAAAACATACTCCCTTAAACAAGATTTTCAGTATGGGAAAGAGAAACAAGTTTCCCAGAGCTAGATCAGGCAGGTGGCGAATTGAGTTGACCAACTTTTGGGCCAAAAACTATGTGATGAGAATCCAGGAATGAGCTGGCGTGAGATTCCAGGAATGAGTCGTGCAAAAGAAACCAGTCTCCTGTGTAGTTCAATTCTGGTCTCACAGACAGAATTCTCTTCAAAAGTTGATCAGGGACACCTTTGAAGAAGGTCGCTGTTTGACCCAGTGGCAAAATCACGTTCAATATTCTCATTGGTCATTGAGATTGAAGGGCGCTCCTTTCATTCATTATCTTGCAGCAAGTGTCGACTGTTCCTGAACCGTGCATACCACTTGAAAACCTTGCTTCAGCTTAAATAATCATGACAATTTGCATGTTTCAACCATGCTTCGATTGGTTCGAATGTTTCCGAATCACCTTTTTCCCTAATTTGGAACTAAATTTGATTGAGACACTTTACTCCATCACACAAATTGTTGCTCAGTAACAAAAACATAACTACTTGCAATGAACACAGTCTGCTACTAAATACATTAACAGTGCAAAAATATCTCTAGAGGGTAATCAAGGAATGATACTACATTCTTTCACCACTGTATATGCAATGTGTTCATTGTGGGTTTTATACAAAATTAGTCCTGGAAGGTTTTGAATACACCTTGTATTTAGTAATTTTTATTTTACAAATTCTTACTTGTGTTCGATGTATTCTTCTGAACATAAAGTTTTCCTTTCTTAGTTCGTACAATTCTAAATGTTGTTTTTTCTGGACTTTCAATCTTCTGAAAATGTAGTTTCCTGGTAACTTCAGGATCCGAAAATCTTACACTTTTTCTCTAAAACAAAAAGGAAATAAAAAGAAGCTAAAATACAGAAATACTTTCACAAATATAAACATTAAAAGCATAGCATGACCACCTAAGCTGTCTAAAGAATGAACTCTATCCAGTATTTGGTAAACATGCATTCAAAACACTCCATTTTCAGTTTTAAACAACTTTTTCACTAACCAAAATTGTTTATTATAAAAGCTTAAAAAATAGATGATATTGATTTTGTTTTGCCTCCCCCACTCCCCGAAATTGACATTCTTGAAGATGTCTAAATGGTTAAATTGCCTCTACATTATATGTAACAATTACAAAAACACCAAATGAAAAACAGAACCTGAATATATTTATCACAATATTTTGGTGAATGGCATTTGCTTTCATCAAATTCCTTTGAAGAGTTATTACATACTGTACATACCGAGGGAGTTTCACCATTATCAACAGAATGTTTTCTTTTTAGATTTGTTTTGCCAGGTGATGCTTCGGCTTGAGGGGAACTCCTCACCCACGGTGATTTCTCTTCTTCTCCTTCCGCATTGAAAGAGAATATACTGAAAAGGATTGAAAAAAAGTTCAAGTGTTACAATACTTTTTCACAACACATCACATCTCCCACAACCAATACAATCACATGCAGCCTTGCAAAGTCAATTTTTTTTTTTTTAAACATTGCAATGTATTGGCACCGATTTATACATTATTCCATATTTATATTTATACAATACAAATAAATACATATTTATGTCAAAACGTTTATTTCGAAAATTTTTATGCTTAGCTCCTTTGACTTTGCAAAGCCTTAAATATTTCACTACTTCAAATGTAGGGAACTCAGTTTCGACACTGAATTATCATAGAAAAAAATTTGTGCAGTAGGATGACGCACAAAAGACTTTCTGGCCATTATTCACTAGACTTTTTTTTTTCAAATTGGTTATTCAACCTACCACATTTAAGAACTTCAGGTCGATGTCGATCACGACCTTTCTGTAGCCACAGGGACATGCGCTCGCCCGCCGCCACGTCCCTAGAGAATGCTCCTGGACACAACATTCGCTTCCCGTACAACTCTAACACCCGTAAAAAGTAACCGAACAAAGGACGCACGTTGACATAATTTGAACCCGAGATTTTCAAAACAGCCACATAAAAAGAGTATGTCTGACAAATTGCCAGAGGTGGAGAGAAGCTTGTAGAAGCTTGCCCGCATAACCCCAGTCAACGAATCGGCTATCCTGCGTCTCAAAATTAGCAGGTTTGATTGGAGAAAAACGAAATGACAGTCTGGGCTCGAGTTTCCGCGTTGGAGGCACAGGCTCCGAGGGTGGAGCGTTTCGCAGGGAGAGAAAGATTCGATTACCGACATTCAGCTGACAAACATCACTTCGAACAGTGGACTTACGATTTTGACGCGTCTGACGACCGCGACACGATGTCACAGAGTTTCGTTTCGACAACTTTAATATCGCACCAAAACTTATAAATTTGACTTTGAGACTATATCGCGACATCAATCGTGATGCAATGGCAAACTTGAATGCATAGCTTTATTACGTACAGTACTTCTGCAAATTCGCACCACGCGCGTGATAATCTCATCCGACCGAAAGTCGCACTATCGAAGTACCGGCGCGCAGTCGCCGTGAAAATATCGTGGACTGCTGTCACACGAGCTCAGCCGCCGTCCATCGGCACGCGATCGCCGCGAGCATAAATCGGCGCACCGTGCTCGCTGTCTTCCGGAAAGTGTAAGAGCGCCTTCCCACGTCGCCACGGCACCGAGCTTCCTTCAAGCAGCAGAGCCCTTCCGACGCAGCCACCGACGACGCCGCCACCACCCGCCCGCGTGCACAACGGTTCGCGGACGGGCCGCTCCGCTGTAGAAGGGGGTGGGGTCCTGCAAAGGGTAAGGCCCCGCTGTCCGACGGGGGCGCGGCCGGGCGGCGCCGCTTCCTCGACCGCCGCGTGCGTAGCAGATAGCATTGTTTTGAATGGAGGCTCATATACCCACGTGCAGCGGGTGGCGGCTGTCTGAATGTGCAGCCGACGTCCGAACTCCGGTACGCGAAGTTCTGTGTTGAGGCCACGCGCTTCATTCTCTATAGCTATCAGAACACCACGCTTTAAATGGAAGCGTTCCCCACTGGCGCGCGGCGAGCCGTTCTACTGCTCGCGTCCTTTGCTTTCGTCGTCGACGGAGGCGTCGCGAAACTATCCCCTCCAGACTCCCATTCCCGGCTCTCACGCGGCGGCGGTGCGGCCGTGGCTCCGGCGGTGGCTGCGTCGGAAGAGCTCTGCTCCTTGAAGGATGCGCGCCACGGCCGCGCCGTGGGAAGCCGCCCTTAAAGCTGTGTACTGCTAGCCGTGGCGCGTATGCCCTCCTCCGCTTCGCGTGGCTGGAGTTCAGCATCGGCTGCCGCAGCGGGAAGGCCTCCATTCAAACCAATGCTCTGCTACGAGCTGCGCTGCTCGGAAGCGCACCGTCGTCGCGCCGTGGGAAGGGGCCCTAAGCGCCCGTTGGGGCTCAAATGAACCGCCCGCCGCTCTTTGAGCGCCCGGATCCGGACATCCCCCCCCCCCGACGACTTCCCTTCCCCGTCCTTGGGTTTCCCAAGCGGAACACAAGAGCCGCCAGTGTCTGCCGCCGCCTGCCACGCGCTACACCGGCGCGACTCCTTTCGTTCACGACAACTGACTAAGACTCCCACGCAACTAAAACACGTCTGTAGTAGACCGGGACAGCGAGCGCGGCGCGATTTGGAAAGGGCGCGCCTGTAGCCTGCAATACTGTTGCGCGCTGTGTCCGAGGCGCGGCACAGGTAAATGACGTGGAAGCAGTCAGTCGGGGGGGGGGGGNNNNGGGGGGGGGGGGGAGAGAAGACGCACACTTCCACATACGCGGAGGGCGCATGCATAAGAGGGCGAACCGCCGATCGTGCCTTCTCTTCTGTTCCCGATCGCCCACCCAGCAGCACACTCTTCTGTTCGCCGATCCAACCGCCGAGACTGTAGGTAGGAGTTAATGGACGTCGGAGAGACACCTACATAGCCGTCCGCGAACGTGTATTAGAATTTTCTGGAGGAAAGTTTTCTTCAAATATGGCGCGAGGAGTTCACTTAGAATCCATCATTTCATTGTGAATCTGAGGACAGTAAGGGAGGGAAATAGTTCGTGCTGTAACGAAGTAAATTTCAGTCTTGAGGAGAAATTTGGGACAGTGCCAGCGAGTGCCGCGCATACGCTCGATTTCTTCATTGCGGTGCAAGGGACACACGCACGCGGGCGTAAACGCACATCGAGGAAGACAAAGCAGACGAGGACGAAAGGCGCCGGGAGACGACGCACGAGGACACCGAGAAGTCGCCGGCGACCAGGGGCCCAAGGGAAGCGTGCGTGGGCAAGGTTCCGTCGACGCCGATGCGCGCCAATGTCGCGCTTGGGGGCAGTGGCAGGTGCAGCTGCACGAGGTAACGGCACCAAAGCGCTGAAAATCTAGGTTAACGTCCCGCGGCCAGGGAAGACTTGTTAAAAGGAAAAATTGTGACGGAAATAAGCATTCAGGGTGCATCTAGTGATGATACAGAGATTCTTGGCATTTTTAAAGCATTTTTGCGTAAATAATTGTAAATAGGTCAATATTAATTTATGTTGCTGGCGGCAACAGAGAAATTGTTAGAGTGTGTTACGCACCTGCGCACAATTTTGTGTTACAGTTATTTGGATTGATTGTTAAATTTTAGACTGTGTCATTTTTTAAGGTAAATAGTAAATGAATTAAAGTTAATTAGTAAGCGACACAAATGGAATTCCCAAGGATTTGCACAAAGAGTTCAATGAATAATTCATGCTTCATCAAGAAAAGGTACCAATTTTAAAATGCTTCATTGAGAAAAGGTACCAAAATAAAATTAGTCAACAGCCATACCCAATTTATGACAACTAAAACACTGTCTCAGGTGTTCGAAAAAAATTACAACACTGAATAATAGTGATATGTTCCAGAAATTTCAAATTTTTTTTTTTTTTTACTAAACAAGTAGCAACTTGTAATGATTCTGGACAATTGAGTTCAAAGCTAACAATTTAAAGGACTACATTAAGCGTATTAAAATTCTTGAGCATTACATCTCGCAAGTTACAACTAAAAATCATATAATCACAATAACAGAAGTAAAAAATTCAATGTCTGTAGACATCAAGGCAAAGATAAAGTCAGTGGTATCAAGAAACTTCATAATTAAAAGATATTACTAAGTTAATAATAAAAATATTGGGGGCGTGGTGTCAATTACAATGAAGACTAAATTTGAAGCTAAATAAGTCACAAAAACTCCAATAATTAGGATTAGCAGAAGTCCAAGTTCTTCTAAGACTAACTATCACTTTATCTTTCCTTTCATGCTATAAGATCATGTTGGTTTTGAACTTAGGTTAATTACAAAAATGAGCACTTACACATCATGATTTGATTCTTCAAGCTCCACTTCAGATGACGTACTAGGGGTAGGCAGGTCAATGTTTGCGTGTATTGACTTCTTTGTTAAAGCAAGATCAACTAGATGGGCAGCTCTTCCAGACATATGTTTACGAGAAGGAGAAGAAGAATCTTCTGATCTCACCAAGTGTTTGGATCTTTTAATTTTCATGGGAGAGCCATTTAACAAATTAGCACCAACCGAGAACTTGGATGGAGAGGATTTCTCAGTTTCTTCATTATTATGTGAAATTGGTTCGCATTCGATTACATCAGTAGATATTCCATCCAAATTTGCATTCTCTGTGGAAGATTCTTCAGTTCCTTCATTACTTTCATTGTTGCTATACAGTTGCATAATTCGTCTCTTTTTTGAATATGTTTTGCATATTTTATCATTTCTTTTTCGTTTTCTTTTCTTGTCTTGATCAAGTTCCTCTGAAACAGAAAGAGGATTTTCTGTTTCTATTAAAACATCCTGTAGCTCATTTGGTTTCATATCCATATATTCTCTTTCATTACTCTCATCAAATGTGAGATCAATTATTTCCGTATCTTTTGGTTTCTCATCGTATGATTCAGAACATTTTGTAATGTCTTTTTCTTTATTTTCAAGCAGTTGGATTCTGTCAGGGGATTCACAAGAATCAACCCCTCCATGATCATTTCTTACAGAAGCATCACTTTGTTCAATTTCAACAGGCAAATTTTCAACAACAGATACTTGTTGCATCGTATCCGGGTTCATTGATGCAGTGTTTTCAGGTATTTCATCACTGGTTTCATAGATGGGGGTTTCTAGTTCTTCACTTTTTTCTACATTATCAGCACTTTCAATTTGAGCATCATTTCCTTTTTCACAACTTTTATCCATCACTCTAAACAAACCTGAAGAAATTTCTTCAGACACCGTGAGATCACCTTCAACACCACTCAAGATGCTGCCTAGTGTTATGGATAACTTTGGCAATGCGATGCAACAATCCTTGAAAACCACTTTTTTCGGTTGAGAACTTTCTACAACGTCTTCATAATCTAATACATCTGCAGTGAGATTGTTGGAAAAGTTCATATTTTCATCACTATTTTTCTCGAAACAATCATCATTGTTTTTGGGGATGTCTGTTTCTAATCTGCAGCCAAATCTTCTTGCCCAATCACTTCTAGTAGAAATTTTATGAGCTTTGGGTTGGACGGCTGAATTTGCATTCTGGGGCATCAATGAAAGAGATCTCACATACTCGCCTTTATCACAGGATATTTGGGAAGAAACTTCTCTACATGAGGTGTCTGGAACAGTGCTGGATATTTTTTTACTTAAATCATTGTTATGTTCATCAAGTTTTTTTCGAGGCATTTCCGAAACAGATGTCTGTAACTGTTCCATCATGATCTGGCCACCTCCAACCGATTCTGAAATTACAGAATTGGAACTTTTACTAGTTAAAGATTTATCTTTAATATTTACATGTGAGGGAGTTGATGATTCAGGGACTGGAATAATTGGGAAATAATGTGTAATAGATTTTGAACTGTTGGACTTGGCATCTAGCATTTTTTCTCTTGATTCCTGATTTGAGCAATCACCAATAACTTGTTCCATTTTGTTTGGTTTATCTACTTCTGGCAAACATTCTGTTCTTATTTCCATATATTCTCGTTTCTGGACTTCTTTAGCACATGTGTCTTCAACTAAAGATGGTGGTTCATGTTTATTGGGACTAGTTTTTGGAGAAGTTGTAGACAATTCTCCTCCATCAATACTTTGTTGCTGCCGTGTCTCTGGACCACATACAGAAATCTCGCTATCGTTCAGTTTATTCTGATTACTTTTACCACCTGCTCTTTCATCTGACAACTTTGAACACGAGTTCTGAATATGATTTACAAGCTGTGAATCTGCATGAACATTCTCTATTTCTGCTGGAATATTTATTATTCGACTACAGTTCACTTCTAATTTGTCTTCTTTTGTTTTATCTACAGCATTATATTTGGAATTTTTTGCTGTGGAAGTGGGACTCTCAAAATCCAACTTGTTTGAAGCCTCATGTGAGGATGACAAACTATTTTGATAATTCTGCACATGTATGAGGGTTTTTAATTGCCTTTGGTTTACAATTTCTGCAGCGTCTGATTTCTTTTGTGAAAGGACATTTTCAGCCATGACATTTTCCTTCGGAGAATTGCTCATTTGATTTTGTTCAATCTTTTTACTCAACCTTTTTTTGTCATAACTGCGAGTAAAATGGTACGTTTTTATTGCTTTTGGTCGGGTCTGATAAAACGGAGTAGGTATCTTGGTTTTTGTATGCTGTTCTGCATGAGATGTAGATTCACTATCTTGTGTTTGAGAGACACAAGATTTTGATATAACTTCTTTTGGGACAAAAACTTCAACAGATTGTTGCTCCCGGGATTCCTTTTCCAATTTTCCAACTTCTTCAGAACTAGTACTAATCAATTTTTCAGAAAGCAAATCCTTATCAGAATTAAACAAATTGGAACTAGGTTTAAGATCTAATTTTGATGCTTTGAGTTCATTATTACCAGATTCACTTGAAAGTTTTACTAGTCTCTCCTTATTGAATATTTCACTACTTGACTGTTCTTGATCTTTGAACAGCAAGGCTCTGCAAGTATAATTATTTACATCATTTATTTCTAGTCTTTTTAAAATTACTTTAGCTGGGCTAACCACTTGATTATTAGGCGGAAGTACTTTACTGCCATTTTCCATTTGTTTCTCAGGATTTTGCTCAATACATTCAGAAGTTACTTCAGTTGTTTCATCTCTGTCCCTTTCCGAAGACTTAATATTTGGATCACTATGTTCTTTTGATGTCACTACTCTTTGACATGAAATTAAATTTAAGTTTTCTTCCTTTACAGCAGGAGACTTCTGACAATTATCTGATGCTTCTCCGTTCTTTGTTGATGTCAAAGTATCTGCAGCATTCTCTCTCGAGATAGATTTAATGCTTTTGTCTAATTTATTAGAGGTATCCTGTTCAATATGAGAAGATGCACATACATTTTCATCGCAGGTGGAAGTCTTGGGAGAGCTGAAATTTTGCATATTTTTTATTAGGTCATTGATTTTTTTAACATGTGTTTGTTTACTTTCTCTGACACTATTTATCTGTGATCCTATAGGAAGCTTTAGTACAATCCTTTTCACTTCAGGGGAGTCAGTTTGTAACTTCGATATACATACTTTAATAGGATGATGGGTAGATGCAGGACTTTGTCTGCGAAACTTTGTTTTCAAAATGTGTGGCATTGCATGAAAAGCTTCACTTTTTACTTTCTTGGCTTCAGAACCAAGATTTTCTTTTACATTTGTCACTATTGGAGCATTAGTAGGCCTTCCTACATCAGCTTTAAAAGTAAGTTTATTCACTGGACTAGTTTTTTGAGAATTTGGAGATATATCAATAACTTCCACCTCATTTTGGCTTTGCTGTGCTGCAACAGAACAAAAAAAGAAAAAAGTTGAAAGTATTCTTCATTTAAAAAAATAAGTTTGCCCTTAGCAAAACATGTTAAGCATCATTTATATTCAGGTATGCACGCACAAAATCTGTCATTTAAAAAAACGTTTCTGCTGAATCCGATTTTGGAAGAACTGTTTCTAAATTTGGTAGTTTCTGCATTACGTAACCTCTTTTTACTGAACTTTGCTGCTGACAGAAGGGTTCATTAAGTTCTCAACAGAATGAGTTAATTCTTGTACCAAGTGTTAAAATGAGTGATCTAAAAAGAATAATGAAAAAATACTGTAAGGAACATAAAATAAAACTGCAGATTTGCAATAAAATTAGTGTTCCAAGAATGTACAGTCAATAATGTTATGACACAGGTCGAATTAAATATTATCAAATTCACACAGCAACGGCAACAGATTTACAAAGTTTTGCAGCTAAATCAGTTTTTTTTTTGTGTGTGTGTGTGTGTGTGTGTGTGTGTGTGTGTGTGTGTGTGTGTGTGTGTATGCGTGCGCGCGTGCATGCGTGTGTTTATATTCTATGGTTTAGAAGGGTTTTGCAACTGTGTGAGCTATGAAACCTCACAGAGGTTGGTCCAACGAACAAAATCTTAAGAAAATCTCATTTAGGGCTCTTTTGGATTAAGAAGTTTTGCATTTGGGCATATTACATTACACCATCTGCAGAAGTTCTTTTACAATAAATAAATTTAAAACTACCATCCTATTTATTTTAAAAGAGACATTTTCCCATTTAATCCCATTGTTGCATTGTTTTGCAATAATGTGCAGCTGATCATATTTCCAATCACATCTAAGAATTCAATGGAAACCATATGAATCTATTGTTGCTGATGTAATTACATCAGTTTTCATTGATGGCGGGTACACACGGTCATAGAGTAGCAGTTGATGCATGTTTATAGAAGTTCGTTATACACCCGTAAGTTTAGCATTGCGGGGAACAACCATAGAGGAAATTTTAGCAATGCTAGATGATTCAGTCTGTTTGAATATAATAGATTTTATTGAACATTTTCTGCTCCTACTGTCTCTACAAAGGACACAGATGACAGATGAAAGATTAAGGGAGAACATACCAGATGTACATTTTATCTTCCGCTGAAGATGACGCACCGCTTGCCTCAGTGATCGAGCCCACGGTGCCCCAGGGACTAGTCAATACGGGGTCCCTTTCATCCGGCGCAACCGGCCACTACACCAGTGTATTGAGAGCATTCAACTGAGCATCATGATATTTTCTTTGAAGTAGAGAACACATTAAGACAACTTAATTCTACTTAAGACTGCCAGAAAACACTGCAAGAGGTTTTATTAACAAATTTCCGGGCGTGAATATTCCACATTGGTCGACAATTTCGAAGCCTGTCAAGAAACTTTGCACTCTTGGAATTTTAATTGATAAAGAGTGTTGAAAGCACCATGTCCTGATAGAAGAGAAGGTGAACAAAATTTCTGCCAGGTTACAACAACCTCCAAGAAAATCTTTGACACAACAGGCGCTCTATTGAAGAGAAAATAGCAGCAAGAGGAACTTATTTCAAAGGGTAAATCAGAATTATTTTCGAAGGTGCCAAGAATGCATACGAGCCAAAGGACATCACTTTCAGCATCATCTTTAAGTTAAGCGCATTGATAGCTCCTGTGCGTCAGCACAACCGTTGTCACCTCTTTGCTGAGCAAGTGAGTCTTCAACTACCCGGACGATGCAGCCCGAATATGACGTATGATAAAATGTACACACTGTTAATAATTTATTAAGAACACAACTTTCGGCAAATACTGAAGTGCTCTTGAGAGATAGAAGGGATGAATTTTAATTATACATGTGAATGATGTAGAAACAAAATTAGGTGCTAGAAAGAAAATGCTGAAGAATCTGAGAAGTTAGGCAAGTCTAAAACAATTAAATCTACAATTGGAAGAATCAGGACACATGATCAGAAAATATACCCAAAAAAGTATTGGAAAAACGTACCTCACCATCTTCACTAAATTTTTCACCTTTAAAACACTAACTGAAATATTTCAATTTATTTGACAGATGTGCTTCTGTAGTTCATTGTAAAAAGAGAGTCAGTTGTATAGAACAAAAAGATAAATCCAATTTTTCACTAAGAGTGAAAGAAAGAACAGTTTTTTAGGCATTCCATACGTATGAGTTTATACATTTCTATATCTAAGTGGAGAATGTATTAGGAGGAAGGCTTGACATCATTTGATGAGAAGAAATTGTTTTGATGAGATGCATTTTGCTTTTACTAAATGACAACTGCAACCTAAAAATTACAAGATTTTAAAGCATCAACCTTCCACAAACTCTCTGAAAAATGGTTTCTCCGAGCATTCAGTGTGGAAAAGGGACATCAGTTGTGACCAATGATTCTCTACTTTGGACACCATGATAAAGGGAAAATCAGTCTACTTTGGCAACTGATGAGACGTTCCTTAGTGTTTAGTGATACGAATAAACTTGTTTGCTAGACACACTTGTGGGCTCTTATGATGTGGTCAGCAGACTCACAAAGCCTTCTGCAACAACACACACATATATGAAAGACAAGGAACCAACAACCATGCCCTCAGCAAGACTCGAAAATGCAACTCATTGGACCGAGGCGTTAAGTAGGTACACACTCAAGCCATTTCAGCCATGTGATAGTGGTAAATAATATTCTTTAACTGTTTTATCCCAACTATTTCCAATGTGTAACAGTGGTTTTGGGTCCAGGACATGTTAAATGATAAAAAACCCACTCTGGTGTCCCACGTCACATTTCCAAACACCCTTTGTCTAAAAGATAAGAACCAATTTCCGAAAAAGTTTTCTTTTCTTGTATTAATTCACGTTAAGTAAATATAGCAATATGAAAGAAAACTGAAAAAGTTCTGAGATTAAAATTGGTTAATAAATAAAAATATTCATTCTAAAATAGTCCAAAACCAAATTACTTGACATAAAGCAACATTCAATACTCACATGACTTTGGTGATTTGACAATTAAAGCTTCAGATTTTCCCGTATAATGATCCGTATATTTTGGTGAAACCACCGTTTTCAAACATTTAACATTTTTTATATTGCCAGTTTTTCTAGAGGCATCATCTGAGGAGTCTGTCAACAATTTTTTTAATGGAATGTTTTCTTTGGACTGAAATGATGTATCTCTTGGAATACTGACACATTCTCCCATAGAAGTAGCATCATTGTCTATCACTGGATTTGCTGCCATCATCTGAAACCTTTAACACAAAGGAAACACTAGTATTAATATATTATATAAATAACAATTTACTCTGAGACTTAAAAATGTTACAATTTTCATCTTTTCTTCAAATCAGACTGGAACCTCTAATAATTTTCTAAATACACACAGACATATTTATTAAATTCTTAGAAAAAATCTTCAGTTTTTCTATGAACTGTATTAAACGAAATATACTAAATAAATTAATGAATGGTGAAAAAAATTAACCCAAGAACCAGTGATGAATAAATGCTAAAAAATAAAATTTCTTAGAAAATTAACATAAAAATTTCACGTTTCTTCAATTGTATTGTTCTTTCAATATTGTAATCTGAAGCATATTTTTTACTATAGTTTGAGTTATACGTTTATGTGGTTTACTGATCATACAATATATAGCTCAATTCTCATTTGAATTTTAACAGTAATATTGAAATATTTATAACTAGATGAATCTGGTGTCGCCCACGCTATAGTATTTTTATGCACTGAATACTTCTTTCATACTTCATTTCCTTCATGGCTACTTTTGTTCAAATATGTTCCTACAGTATTTAGCGTTGGACTTAACAATAAATCCTAAGATCTGTTAATGTTATATTCCTGTTGAAAAATGTACAACACCTAACAGCCTTGAATATTACCACCATGCGAGATACAAACTGGTAATCTTGCATTTTCAAAATTATATACGCTGTAAAAAAATACTTGCATGTATGGATGATGCAAGTTCTAAAACAACTGTGGTGTAGTTTTAATTTTTGGTTCCATTAAGTTTATTGGGGTGCTGATTATGAATCTAAAGTTTACAAGAAAACAAATCTGGTCTACTTCAAGAACAAAAACTGAGTATTGTACATAGTACAGGATCTTTAGCTTACCTCGCAACCCATGTTTGGAAACGCCACGAATTGTTTTGGAAATTTGGCAATGCATGAAATACCTTTGGCGTACAATTCACTTTTAGTGACTCACGGTTGCATGCCCTCAGATTTCGGGATGGGAGAATGTGGCTAACTTTAGTTAGAAGAAAGAGAGAGAACTTATTCCATCCTTGTTAGCCTTCAACATACTGCAGCCACTACACCGAAAAAAGTCAACACAGGAGCGGATCCAGAGACAAATTTTGGTAGGGGAAATTCAAAATGTTTTAGTCAAAGGTGTCATATTACAAATTTGGTAGATGTTGCATGCTACACTCAGATCATGCAATGCTATTTTATTCGTTTTAATGATTATCAGAAAACATTTTTGCTTGAAAGTTTCGTGACTAGTTAAAATTGATAGATACTGAAAGAATTTAGGGGGAAGAGGGATTTCCGTCATTTCCCTCCCCGTGGATCTGCGCCTGGTAAACACCTGACTCTTGGCAAAGGTAAATAGTGATCACTTTGAGCATTTACTTGAAGGTCAGTATTTCGTAATTTTAAGTAAATTATATTTTATTACTTTCATTAATTAAATTCAAAAATTATTAATTTACTACTAATTCAAAATTACAAAAATGTAATTTCTTTGACTTGTCTCTCACGTCCTCAATTTTTACATTAGAGGCGATTTGTTCACGTTATTGTATTTACGAGTACAGGTGTTTTAAATGTCATATCAAATTTTTCAAAAATTCAAAAGTTATCTATGAAAGTGAACCCAAAATTACCCTTTTCTGAAATGTTCAAATGACATTTTCTCAAAAATGGTTCCAAGTTTTTTCTTTTAACTTTTTCAACGGATAGGATTAATTGCACTGTTTAATATGACAAAGTTATTTTGGGATATCTTTTGTTGTTTATTTCAAAAATTACACAAACGTAATTTTTTTAAAATAACTCTCATGCCTTTAATATGCACATATCCAGCAATTTATAAACATTATTGCATTTGTGAGATGAAGTGCTTCAAATTACTTCTAATGAAATTTTTCGAAAACTCGCTAGTTTTCTGTGAAGGAGGGAAAAAAGTTTCAAATCTTGCTATTTCTGCTTAAACGCCATTTTCATAAAAACCGCTCCAAAGAATCCATGGTTTGTCGATCCATTACACAGAACGATTGGTGGTACAGAGTTACAGACATCCCCGTATTACGTTTTATATTTCCTTTGGTCTCTGTTAGCTATACGAACTTGCCACATACTCTTGCCAGCTGCCATCTATCGCCGCCCTAAGTTTTTTTATTTTTATTTTTTTTAATTTTCTCAATTGTTCGGTTTCCTAATGGTATAGTAGTATTTTAAGAATATTACAGAACAGTAAACTCTCGACCTAAATGTCAATTTTCTTAAAATAATTTATGAATTGGACATTTACGTCATATTAAAGCGTGTAATTAGCACTATTTGTTCCAAAAGTTTATAGAAAACATTTTGAGCCATTCTTGAGAAAATTTTGAAAATGTCCGCGTAGCTTCATGTAAAGTACCCCCCAAAATTAATGATTTTTTTTCTTCTTGAAAATTGCAGACCTTGGACTCAGGCCAGATTGCAAGGGGTTTATTCTGTATTCTGAAAAATATCACGCATAGTTTAGGTGCTAGTGTTGTTCAAACACCAAACAGACGGACGGAGACGTGTAGATGTCATGTGTAGATAAGCGTGTAGGCACCGTCCCTGAGCTTTCACACTTAACGGATCTGTTCTGTATGCATGTGTGGACCGCGCGTTATGCCTGTCCGGTGTTATATGTCTGTTGCAGTATATATGTTGTAAGTGCATCCACCAGTTGGTCGCCCACCTCGATGACGCCAGCAGGGATCGTCATATGGACCCTTTAGCTCATGTCACCGTACACAGGCAAATGTTCGTCGTCACCTAAAAGCCGGTGGATCATCTCGTGTCCTCTTGCTCTTATTGCCGCAACTCTCCTTGGTTCTGATGCCGCCAGCCGCATCAGGGGGCTTTGAAGTTTTGTATATATGAATAATGATACGAAGAGCATTCAAAAAGTTCCCGGAATTGCCTTGCTGCTGCAATAAGACAGCAATCACATTCTTTTGGTAGGTGGCTAGAATGTTCGCAAACGGGCAAAATTGGTCTGGACATGTTTCAGGGCGAGCTGGAGTGTCACGTGGAGATGACTGATATTCCGTCGACGAAATGTAGATCGAACAGCTTGCAAACAAGTTCGTTTGCAAACTGGGAAAATCGGCTCCAGAGACGCAATCGGCTCTCCCGTGGTCTGGACAATCTGTTACTGAAAATTTCTATGGGTTTTTAGAGTTTGCGTGATGCGGTTCGAAGGACATGACGGGTCGAATGGCAAGGAAAAGTGATTTCTGCATCACGGTAACGCGCCAAGCCACACATCGCTTGTTGTCCAGAAATTCCTCGCCGAGACAATTCCTGCCTTCCCTCGACCACCGTACTCTTTGGATCTCGCTCCCAGAGACTACTGGCTGTTTCATAAACTGAAAATGAGCCTGAAAGTGAAAAAGTTTGCAACCATGGAGAACATGATTTCATGTTCGACGACTCAGTTCCGACAAGTGCCGAAATAACCCTTCTACAGCTCCTTGTAACAACGGCAGGAACAATGGAGCAAGTGTTTAGGTGCGCAAAGATCCTACTTCGAAGGTGATTGAGCTACTATTGCCATAGGTTTTAATATTAACATGCTGAACCACTATTCCGAGAAATTTTTGAACGTCCCTCGTATATTCACATTAAGACATGTAGACGTTGGTTAATCAAGTAATGTTATAACGGAGTACTTTCCAGCTTCTGATGGACATCTTATTGTATACATCGAATGTCTAAAATAGGTTCTCAATTTTTACAAATTTTCAAATAGTTTTTCAAAATATCCAAAAATGTCTTCTTCTGTAATTGGTTGGTCGTAGTTAGCTGTATCAGGTAGAAATCCTGATACACGATTCCTGATGAACGACAGGTGATGCACGGCACGTAGCTCATATTCACTTAAGTACAACAGTTTTGTATGACATTCCACATGGGCATGCGGGGATGTCTGTTAGGCCTCTTCTGCACAGATACTCGGAAAAGAAATGCGTGGTAGTTAGAATCTGAACTGTTTCTCTCGATGGTTTGAACCATTTAGCCAGTACAGTGAATGAAACATCTGGCACAATATTTTTTATCGTCCTCCCTGTGTCGCGTATCTCACCGCCGCTGCCACTCCTTCAGCAAACGTATCAGCTTATTTTCTTTCATGTTTTCAGCTGCGACTAAAGTAGTTCCGAAAATTTCCAGCTTCCTGGTTTTGTAGAGCGCGTCTTGCTGCGACTTTTTTTTTTACTTGCAGTTCTTTGGAAACAAACCTGCTAGGATTAGAAGATGCATGGTTGAGCCCGCCCTGTCGACGCCAGTGATATCAAGTACTGCGACGCGCTGTGCACTATTGAGTACATTACTTATTCTTGTAAGCCCAGCTGTGTGTGCTCACACTGCTGCTCCGTAACCTATGATTAGCAGAAACGCGCCCTCAATTATTTTAAGCATTGGCCTCTTTAGTCGTATGATCTCTTCACTTATGCCTCTACGTTGGGTTTATTTTTATTTCTTTTTTATAGAGGTCGCATCAACGTCTAGGTCATTAGCGACCACTAGTGCATTTGACGGTATGGTAACTGTGAAGATGACATGGGAGGGTGATGGTAGGGGGTGAAAGGACGAACATAAATAGAACCATACTCGAGGCGGGACTCGAACGCGCGATCCTACGGTCCGAGATAGCTTCGGCACTACTGCCTCCAAGTTTGTAGAACAAATTACAACCTTTTTAAACACATAATTTTGACACGGAACAGAAATGTGAGTTTTGGATCCAGCCAGCTCCCCGGGTATCTTGCAAGTCCGGTTTCTTTAATGGTCCTTTCATTTATTTTCAAGTGAGGAGGAAATCTTATGAGAAAAGTGAGCCCTATTAGTATAAATTCTGTTTTTTTAACTGACAGTTTTAATTTTGCGCTTTTGCACCACTTAGAAATTATATGGAATTGAATTTTAAAGAGGTAGCATCAACGCAATCTAGATGGTGATGCTACCTTACTCGTTGAAGGAGAAGTTCTATGCAGCTATTCCCGTACGAAGGGCAAATCATACGCGTTGACGTGACACCTGCCTCTCTTATAATAGCCAGGAGTTCATCCATTAGGATATTCCACGAGGATGGTCCACAAATGAACCCCTGCTGACAGCCACATGTTACGTTCTTTCCTACGATAAGTTCCACTTGCACGAATTCCAACCGTCCTATCTTTAAGTACTTGTGAAACATGGCATAAAGATTTCCTGAACAACCTTATTCTCGTAATCAGCGTAATAAGGTTGGCCACCAACAGTAAAGGCATCACATCACAATTTCAAGGATCACATCACAACAGCAAGGATCACATCACAATTTTTTTCTTATCGTGATTCTGTTGCTTTAAAAAGGGCAATTACAGCATTTTCTGTGTCAGAATCATGACGGAAACCAAACTGGTTTTGTTGCCAATGTTGTTTAAAAATTTTGTTGAGTGTTTATAAAAAAAATGAGAGAAATTTCCCATGGCGGTAGAACATTGAGAGGTAGGACGAAGGATTATATTCCGGCTTCTCTGCTTTTCTGATCATAGTTAGGGAGGCGGTTTTCCAAGCTTGAGGAAATATACCTGTTCCAAGGCACGTATTGAGCATTTTTTAAATGACTTGCGATTGGAAGGCCTGTTGAATAATTTCGGCGTTAATATTGTCGGGTCTTGAAGCTTTCTTTAATCGGAGACTGTTGACAGCTTCACGTTCGCAGACTTCTCTGCGTTCTGCCGCCTGCCGGGGCGTGTCATCCTCCGGAGAGTCAGAAAAAGCTCTTGACAGATGGACGGACGGTTAAAAAAATGAAAAGAAAACAACACATTTTTGGTACCACGGAGTCCCAAACCTTATGTCCGTTGAGATAACAAAATCGACTTTCCGTCGCATTCCATACTTTTTCTCTCTACTACGTATTACTCCGTACATACGTACCACTCGTATACGTATTACTCGTACGTACCCTGGAAAGCAAAAACCGATTGACGGCAAAACTCATGCGCAGCATTTGTCTTAAATCGAAGAAACCCCTACCGGTCTGGCCTGAGTTGAAGTTCCGCGATTTTTACTAGTGGTGCTACAGAATGGCACAGACTTCCTCGTAGTACAGTTATCTAATTTCCTTGGTGTGGACTTCCTTTTCTGTCTAGCCCCATCCTCATGCCAGCAGCTATCGCTACCCACAGTTCATTTTTTGACTTTTTTTTTCTTTTCAAATTTTAGGTTTACGGATTTGTTTTATTAGCCAAATGCACATCTCATTAAGGGTAAGAGCCTCCTGCTCGCGCAAGTAATTATTAATCCTTCATTATTATTCATTAATGAAGGGGTAGGATGATGAAGGGACGATCACAAATACATCCATGCTCAAGGCGGGATTTGAATCCGAGATCGCCACGACACTGTCTTAGCGATTTCGACTATCCGGATCAACGGTTAACTAATAGAACCCAAAATTACTTTAATACTATTGAAGAAGAGTAAAACCTCGTCTTAAATGGAAATACTCATTAAAATTTTGAGCCGGTTTTAAAAAAATGTTTGAGCTATACGGCAATTGCGAAGTTTGAAGCTCTTTTTCACAGAACACTGTAGTTATCGAGAAACTTTTTTTGACATCATTTAAAGCACATACACTAAATACAATAATGCGAACAAATCGCCGCTAATGTAAACATTAACGTGTCAATAAAATATAATTTTTGAAATTTGTGAAAAAACAAAAGAATAGAGCAATATGGCGTTTATGTCATTGTTGATACATGGGCAGCCGAATTAATTCAAATTTAACGCCACGCTTCGAACAGTTCAGTTTCGCTCCTTTTTGAAAGCATTTAAGAAGAAAAGATCATACGTGTCAAAACTTCCCGCTTTGGAGATAAAAAAACGCGAATTCTTTCCAAATTGACCTAATACTCATTTGCGTACATAGCTCTATGAAATCGACTTTCAACACCTTCGAAAAATCACTAATAGGTTGCACCACCTCCTGACCGGCCGCGACGAAAGATTTGACCATTGTCAGATTTCCTGGAATCCATTTTTTTCCACATCCGCGACGAGCTTGCATTGTTTAAAAATCAGAGAAGGCGCGACCATTCTTGTAGCGATCGTGTCAAGAAGCTAAGCAAAACGTATATGGGGCGCATTGAAAGTTTGTGGTACGTTGGCAGCAAGCATTTATCTTGTAGTTTCTTTAAACCAGCGCTCTGACAGCGTCTCTGGGAAATTTCAAAATTTGCAACAAAAAAAATCGATCCATCGTTTTTAATCAAATTTTGTGTGTAAAATAGTGTAAGGAACATTTAAGAAAATGGTGCAGGTCCCTCAAAATGGAGTTGTTTTAGCACTAGTTTTCTCATGGTGAAAATGGAATATTTCATGTTCAATACTCACGAGTCTTGTGAATCACTGAATGATGGTTGTGAATCTTGGGTTAAATCCTCGTATAATGCAGGAATATCATCTCTGCGCTGCCTAAATGATTCTTTCTGATGTTTTGTAAGAGGGCGAGCAAGTAACTCCTGAAATACAAAATAAAAAAACAACATTAATTTAAAGAATGCCAAAAAGGAATACCTTCAATACTAATGGTGGGAGCAATACTAGGATTATTTAACATTAAATGTAGAATTTATAGATGAACCAACACATGCCCGCATACACTTATACAGGGGTTGGACAAAATAATACCATGCAATATAGTACACCTGTTTGCATGTCAGCGCCACCCTGGGCGTGGAAGCCCTGCGACGCCTCTGCATTGCGCAGTTGACGTGCCACTTATGGAAGTTCTATTGCAGTGTTTTGTAGGCTTTTGCCCGCAATAGCGAACACTAGCGACCGGTGAAATGTGTAATCTCTCAACCATCGAAAGATAGAAGCCATTCGTTAGTGCTCGGGTAGCGGAACCACGTGACGAAAACAGCTGAACCGTTTAACATTTCACGAGCGACAGTTCCGTGGTAATCACAGCACACACAAAACATGGTAAACATTAGCGACGAAGAAGTCGAACGGGAATAATGGACAAAAGCACTGACAAGACACCGATGAACATTAAAAAGGATTGTAGCCAGACGGCGTAAACTAACATCCATCTGCAATTGCGAAATCCTTTACAACGGAAGCCAATGCGGCGCAAAGCGGCGAAAGAAGTGGTACGAGTAGGACGATTAAACTTTGACACTTTATGACTGGAAGAATGTGGTATATGGTCCGATGAATATTTTACATTGTTTCCTATAAACGGCAGGGTTAACGTATGGAGAACTCCAACACAAGCCCACGATCCGGCGAGGTTCCCTAACGATTTGGTCTGCTGTAACGTGGTATTCAGCTGGTCCTATCGTTATCACAGGTTACTGGGAATCAAACTCTCATCAACAATGTAGTGCTTACAATGACTACCACATTCCAAGATGATAGTGCATCCACACACAGCAAAAAATGGTTCGGGCGTGATTTGCGGAGTATCAGAATATCAAACATCTCCATTGGCCAGCACAATCTCCACACATAACTGAACCGTCACGGGGCATTTGAAGAGCAGCGAAGAAGAGATTTCCAGGTCCTACATCGTTGAAGCAGTTGGCGGATGATTTGATACGAGAACGGGAGAACACGCCGTTGGAAAGAAGTGGTGGCTCGTGAGCAAATGTTCCGGGTGGGCAAAGCAGATTACTGAACAGCGGCGGATCCCGAGAACGGTACATGGAAGCCCCACTTCAACCCTTTCTTTTGGAAATTTTATTCAAAACAATTGCCTCACTGATATCATTACATTCCAAAGAATTATTTCCATGACGCACGCGCAGACCTGATTTCAAGGTATTCAGATTCTAAAAAAAAAAGTTTTGCAATTTTGTGTTGCTCTGCCGTTAATTCACAAATCTGATGCAATTTTTTTCCTGTTTAAAATTATTTGGATTACATGTGATCTTTTGACATTTCATATTTTGTACAGCCTTTGATATTATTTCATGTCAAAATACCCATCTCTATTCCAAGTAGTCTCCTTAACTGACAATAAAAGACATGGCGTACTAATTTAAAATGAACAAATACTTCGTACATAATACATCCGCTTAACTCGTTAAAGCAAGAGAATCCGCCGGTCTACACACAACGCGAATGCGTCAAGCATGGACACAGCATTCTAGTGTTCTACGCTCATAGCGCCTTCCCTCAAAATACGGTGCGAAGCGAGCCAGCGCCAGGGCCAGGGCGCGCCTACCCTGAGAGGCGCAAAGGGGCGCATGTCTCTGCGGGAAGAGAGGAGAACAGATCGCATGGCGCACGGGCTGTTACAAAACGCACGAAATGAAAACATGGCTCGAGCCACGATAATGAAATGTTCACTATACATTTCCACATAAATAATACTTACACTATATAACAATTGTACGAGACATCTATTTTGTTATTATGAAATGTTTTAAACTAGTAGACCGTACGTGTTCATCAGGGCAGGCAGTGCCTACCTTGCAAACAGCTGAGGCCACCACTGTCTTCTGACCCGCAGGATCTAAAGGGATTGAATACTTCTCGACAAAATGTTCTGGGAAAGATTTGTGGGCGAGGGCATTTTTAGTGTAGTGAATTTACTAGAAAATTTAGAGGAATAAAGACTAATAGAAAAGAACAGATAAAATGTATTGACTTTCTTAGTCTCAAATCTTGTATTCAAAATCTCAGCATTACCAGGTATGGCTGAGTTAAATGTAGTTATTTTTAAAATCATGTATTCCTTTTTATATTGGTTTCACATTATTTTTATCTGATAGTAAATGCTTAATAAGTAATGAACATCCATTTCATGATTTAACATATTTAACAGTGTCTATGTAAAACGGTTCATATTTTTAAAGAAAGTGCTATTTTGTTAAGTCGAAGAAATATTGCACTCCGGAGACACTTCGAGATATCGGTTTGACTGTATATTTATACGGTATATTGGACTGTATGTTGTAATCCATATTGAGGACTATGGTCCAAGATATGACAAATCTGTTGGACCATATCTGAGAGAATACTTTGCAGGTACAAAGGTCTGGCATTTCTTTTCTTTAAAAAAGAGACCGATTTAACAGAATACAAAAATTTTAAGAAAAACAATTAAATGTAGCAGACTTAATTGAAGGAAAAAAACACTGTAATTGATCATTTTTATTTCATGGGGTTTCTCCATCTATTTTCTATTTCCGGCAACCCATATAATTCCCTCTTTGTTAGAATTAAAAATTCAGAACTTTTTTAGAATTAAAAATTTAATGTCTCTATTGGCATAGAATATAATCTTGTTTCTCCGGCCATTTCTAAATTGTCCACACAAAGCCGTGCAGGTCACATTCGCGCCAGTTGTGACAACTCCACTTTCCCAGGGCAGTATAGTCTGGGACAGAGTTTTCCGTCCGCGATGCCGAAGTGACGTAGGCCTCTTCGCAGAAACGGAG